GGCGCGGGATCGGGCAGTGTTTCGTTCTGCTGTGCATGGGGTCGCTATGAGTCGGAAACGACTCGACGGCACTTAACAACAACAACAACAACAGGGAAGTAATAGGCTACAACTCAGGTTCAGGAACGTGCTCAGGATATAATTCTTCAATCAGGATAGTCTCCCTTCTGTTATGCCCTCAGGCACAACTCTCTGGCTCTTGGCCTCTCGGCCTGGCCTCTGCCCTGCTCAGGCAAGTGTTATAAAGCTCTTTTAGCTCTGGCAATAGGTATACCTAGGTGAACCCCATTCTGCCAGCAAGTCTCCTAGTCAAAGGCACTCAGCTTTCCTACTTCATGGGCCGGCACTGCTCTGTCTCATGACTCTTGGTTCCACTGCCACTGTCTCTCAGCCAGGCATCTCTGCCAGACCTCTGCCTCTCAGACAAGGAGGTCCAGCACAGAGATAGGGATCTTGGGTCCAAGGACATGCTGTACTCCAACCCCAGCTCTTCTATCTTAATGGCAGTGAGATCCCCCTTTCTGTCTCTAGGAAAGCCTAGCAGAATGCCAACACTAACCAATCTCCACATTAGAGTTCCATACACCTTACTTGCATGGTCCCACACAGTAATCTAGTGGGAGTCACAATGACTATGGCTATTAAAACCATACCAAGTAATTCACTGCACCACATACCCAATTACAATGAAGCTTGAAATCACCTGGTTTAGCCTGCATGTGCTACCAGCATAAAACCAAACCAAACCAAACTCACTGCTGCCAAGTCAGTTCCAACGCACAGCAACCCCTCCTTGGGTTTCTGAGGTGGTATTTCTATGGGAGTAGATTGTCCAGTCTTCCTTCCAAGGAGTGGCTGGTAGGTTTGAACCGCCAGCCTTCTGGTTAGCAGTCAAATGCCTTAGGCACTACACCACCAGAGCTCATGGCACTGTTGCTTTCATTGCTGCCAGTGTTGTTATAGTCACTGATTTTGTCAAGTTTTCTAGTATCTTAGCTACAAGATCGTGGTAATTAGTATCTGTGAATGTATATCAATAACTTTTGAGAATGGAGCAGTGACTAAAGGAAAAGCAGGAAAAAAAATAATAAAGGCTTCTGCTCAGTTACTAATAATATTATAATTCAATGTAGAAAGATTTTACAAAATAATTTTGTTAGTATTCATATAATCTAAGAAATATTACATTTAAGCAATTTACAGCTATATTTATCACATATTATTCTGATTAAAATTGCTAATAAACACTACTAAGGACTCTGTATGGTCAGGTATGGGAGGAAGTTCATGGCGGGGAGTGATGTCATGAGTTACCTCAGTGGGTGACGCCAACCCTAGTGACACCACTGACCAAATTACTGCATTACCACCAGCAGAATGTGGATAGAAATTAACTCCATCTCCAGACCTGGCCTTTACAAACCCTCTGTATGAGCCTCCACGTTACCTTTCTTGCCCATGTGCTGGTTGTATGTAGAAGGTTCAGCAAAGAAATTTGAGATCCTAGGAGGGGCAGAACCACAGATAGAAGGAGCCAAGGTCCTTGCATCATGGCCTGGATGGCTGCCCACTGAGAATTCTCATGAAATATATTGTGAATGAGAATACACTCTTACTGGGTTAATGCTGTGAGGTTTCTTACCTGTTTGTGCTGCAGCTGGGAGTCCTTTGGTTTATACATAAGCTAATACATAGGTCAGAGATCTGGTGGTGTAGTGCCTAAGGCACTTGACTACTAACCAGAAGACTAGTGGTTCAAACCCACTAGCAGCTTCTTGGAAGGAAGATTGGGCAATCTACCTCAGTAGTGATACCGCCTCGGAAACTCAATGAGGGGTCGCTATGAGTCGGGTCCCACTCGATGGCACATAACAACAACAACAACAATGGGAAGGTGGAACTGGGTGCACGTGTACATGATGGCATGGGTGCAACTGTTGGGACTGTTGGGAATTGTAATGAGGGAAATGAAGTCACAGGGACCAAATGAAGAAAACGCAGAGTCCTCAGGTTGGTGTATGCATTTATTTGATGAAAACTTGCGTATTCTCAGGGTAGACAAGTCAAGGAGAGGGTGAGAGCAGAGGTCCTGAGCCAGAGCAAGTGGGTATACCAACAAGGAACCAGGCAGCACTCTTCATGGGCCAGATAGTCTTCTTCCAGCCCAAACAGGTGGTGGCTCATATCTTTGTTCTAGCAAATTCTCTGGAAGAGAAAGATTGGGTGGCTAACAGCCAGGGAACCCTGGGAGATATACATTTCCAAACCTGATAGCACCCTAGATTCCAGATAAGAGAACAGAAATTTGTTCTGAAACATCAGCAGTTACCCACTTTGGAGAAGTTTCTCCCTAGAAGTTTGTTGATTTAGCAGACAAATGGACACTGAGTATCCATCCTTAACCCTAACTGAGACAGGGGTGCCAATGGAGAGGCCTAACTCAAGATGCAGTAATTTGGGCCTTGGCCAAAGAAGGGATGAACAAACTAGTATGTGATATATGAGAGACTCAAAGGCATGGAATGGGAGTCCAGAAAAGTAGAAGCCCCTTGAGGGATGTCTTGGTTTATTTTGAGGGAGTGGCAGCCTTGATTTGGAGTTAGGAGGGCATTGCCTTCTGCTGCCTGTTTCTTTGACCAGGATTTGCATGAGTGGAATCTTTTGCTCGGGATCACAGCTTCTGCACAGAGGGAAAGAGCAGTGAGGAAGCATGCCCAGGTCGCTTCTCCCCACCCCCACTCCAACCAACTCACTCTTTTTTCAAGCAGATATTTCCACAGTAGGTGCGGCAACATATGGCATGTTTCGATTTACAGTGATGGTCTGTGGTGCAAGTTCTGTCACAGTACTTTGGTGATTTAGGAGGTGTACTACACGGTGCAACTTTTGTTTCATCAACTGGAATTAAGATGGTAGATGCTGGTTCAATCTACCCACCCACAACTTATACAGAAAAAAAACTTTCACAAGCTCCACATTATCTGAAACCTGAGCTGAAGCTACAGCAAGATATTTCTCTAACTTTCAAAAAAATCCTTTCCTTACCTCCTTCAATTCCAGCCAGTACTGTATCTCTACATAGAAGACCATTCTCACAGGCCTTGCTTTCCCTCCTTCCACATGTCCTCACAGCAATGCAGGCCTCTAGGCCTTCTCTCAACTCCTGAAATGTAGGACCTGGGACACCCTCAATGTGTATGACCCCATCCCACCAAATCTATTCTCATATAACTTTAGACTTCAGGGCCTGCATTATCCTCTAGCTCCAATCTCCACATCCAACTTGTAGAACGTGACACTGAGCCTTGTGATGATAGGAACCTACTTTTCTCCCTTTCTCTTCGCCTTTCTGATGATATCACCTGAACACTCAGCTTCTTTCCAAGAAGAAGTTCCCCTAAACTTGTCATCCCTTCATTGGCCCCGTTTTCTTATGACCACAAACATTCATCCACTAAGTACACCATATTTTCCAGTGTTGTTAAGGATTCTTCTCCTCAAACTAAATGAATGTGTTCAATACTACCATTCTGGTGTTTGTGAAAGGCACTCTAAGCTAAGGCACAAGATCTGGAAATATGGGCTGAGAGAGCAGCTCTGTGATGGTGTTTCTCTACCCCTATTGATTCAACATTGGAAAATATTAACTCCCACTTGCTGTGGAATGTAAATGAAAGCTATGTTCTTTTTCCATATACCCGTAATTGCTTTCAGAACTGGAAGGAGGAGCTTGGAATGTTCCCAGATTGGGAACGTCCAGCTTAAACTCGTTTGAACATCTCTGCTTCAGGAGGGTTGTAAAGGATGATCCCAGAAATGTGAGCCCTGAACCAGGTGTTCTGGACATCCCCACTCCCTCCCTTGCCACATCACTTACCTGAGGTTTTCTCCCAGAGCCCTCCCAGCACAGGCAAAACCATCACCACCACATAGGCAAGCATGATAAGTAGGAGGGCCCAGAGCTTCATGCTACTCTCCTGTGTGTCTCTATATTAAGTTCTTGCAGAAGAAGGATCTTTGCCCAATGCTGCTAAAGAATTGGAGAAGGGGAAGTGTAAGAAAGAGAGAGGAAGTGCTTGTGAATACTGTCTTATTCCTCCTACTACTTTACCTTTTCACCCTCTGTCACTCAACAAGGTATCAACGCCCTAGCTGGGCAGTGGCTTCCCCAAGGTGCCTTCTTCATGTCACATCTCATACCCTTTCTTTCACACAAATATTTCATTTAAAAGTGCATTGCTTTTTTTTATGGTGATTAAAAAACAATACCTCTTCCAATTATACAATTTGCAAAATGCAAAAAAAAAGTAAAAAGAGAAAATATAGATAAATATTAGTAATTACATCACCCAAAGATAACCAGTATACTTGAGTACTTTTATGTTATATTCATTATTTTTATGAAATTGGAATCATGCAATGGATTAATGTCCTGATTTCTTAATGTATTAACCTATGTAAGAGAATGATAGAATGGAAGTTTCAGTTAAGATCCTAAGACAAAGGATATCAGAGTGAGCTAGGAGATGGCTCATTCAGCAAGACTTGAAAAAAACTGATGGCCATGAACTCATTAGGTAACAAGTACATTACTTCAGTAAAAGAAATATATAATGAAACTACAGTAATTGAAGCAGTATAACATTAACATAAAGATATACAAATAGATCAGTGGAAAAGACTAGAAACCAGAAATAAATGCCCACATATGAGGGTAGCTGCTTTTTGATAAAAGTTCAAAAGCAGTACAATGAAGAAAGAATAGCATTTTCAACAAACTGTGCTGAAATGATCTGACATCTATAAGCAATAAACACAGAATTCGTTTTTGGACTACCTTCTCACCACCTCTTCTAGTCTTTTCTCTTATTCTTCTATCCACCTGTCACCACGCCTACTTTTACACTGAGTGCCACCTTTCTACACATTCTTCCATGCTTTCCTTTATGTATTTGTTTTTATAATTACAAAAGCAGTTCATATTTATTGTAGAAAACTTTTAACACATTAAAGAGCACAAAGAAGAAAACAGAAAATGACCAATAATTTAAGGATTCCAAGATAGCCACTGTTATCATTTGATGTATATCCTCCATGTAGATTGCATAATGTGTGTACCTATGTAACAACTAGGCACCTCCCATATAGAGGTGACAGTCAACATTTCTTGTTGGGCTTGTATTAGATAGCACTGCAGTCACAAAGGAACACAAATCTAACTCCAAAGATACTGAGAATTTTACTGATGGTATAATAGAAAGATGAAGGAAGGGGTTACATCACATAATACATAAAAACATTTTCTTAAAACCATCCATTTATCTCTCCCAAATACTTCACTCTCTGTGGCTGCTGAGAGCTCTGATGGCACAAGTAGTTAAAGCATTAAGCTGCTAACAAGTGTGCATGCAGTTCAAACCCACCAGAAAGATGAGGCAGTTGGTATCTGTAAAGATTTACAGCCTTGGAAACACTATGGGGCAGTTCTACTCT